ATATGTTTAGTAAACCATCATCCAATGGACAATTAGATAAAAGCATAAGTTTTAGTTATTATTACCTAGCAAGTTTAATCTCTTTTGAGTGTACCTAAACATATATATCCTCCCAGTGAGAGTTAGTTGTAAACAATTCATATCTTTGTTGTTGTAAGCCTAAAACGGCTAGTTAAAAAATAATGAAACATGTTATTACATGTTGCCAGAAGTGGCTTAGAGAGTACTTGTTGTAATTAGAAGTCACAATGAAGAATACTTGTCATAAAAAGTTTCCAAGTTAGTAAAACCCTTCGAGTTTGAAGGTAACTGGATGTAACTCAGGTTGAGTGAACTAGTATAAAAATATCAAGTGTTTTTATTCTATCCCTCTTCCCTCACGCTCTTTGGACAAACATCTTGTACAAACTTATATTTGTCCATTTGCAAAAATTTTATAAAATACACTCACACACATTCAATACCCTTTTGTGTGTTCTTTTTTAGCCTTCATAAACATTTGTTGTAATGCTTTTAAAGTATACAAAACTCAGTTCATAACCAATGTATTTATAGCTTTGTATATTCTTTATTGCATAGTCTACTAAATCTTATACACATTTTGCTTAATCTTATATTACTATGTTGGCTTGATTTTTCGCTTAGTTTGATAATTACTTTTCATTCAATCTCATAAAAAGCAAGTTGTAGTTGCGAACAAATGATGCTTACTTTTAACTTGGTCGAAATTTGCTTTTTTTTATAACTTTTTTCAATAAATGGCTTTTTAGCTTTAATATTTTGAACACCTGTTGGAATACTTTCAAAGTATTCCAACTTGGGTGAGAAAGTGAATATGTTAAAAAATTTACCAGCAAACTTTTGGTTACATAGAAGATCTTTTAGAATGGAAGAAAACATTGAAGTTGTTGTTATGATACACACAAAACACAAAACACAAAGCTATAGTAGTTTTGGAAGGAAAAAAAAAAAAGACAATTGGTGGGGAAAAAGGACAAAAAAAGTTGGAAAAGTAAGTTCCAACTTTCTCCTAGAAGAATAACCATACTTCATATTTTTTATTCGTTTAGACCAAGGGTTAAATGTAAGGACTATAATCAAGTTAGTCATTCAAGAAAGTTTGCAAAAAATAAAGTAGCCTAATATGGACATCAAGCTCAAGTTGTTAGGCTTGAAGAAAAAGATGAGGAACATTTATTTGTCAATAATTGTTATTCAATAAGTAATAGTAAGAAGGTGTGTCATATAAATTGAGTGTATAAATCATGGCTCAATATATATGCTAGTGTTTTAAATGAGTTGAATTTGTCCTACATCTCCCAAGTCACCATAGATAATGAAGAAAGTGTTAACGCAAAGGAAATGAATTGTAATTATTAACACTCTTTATCAAATATATATTTAGTTTTTTATTTGTGGTTGAAATAAATATTTAAAGCTTTTTTTTAAGTGTGAGACTAATGCTATAAATGAACTATTATTTGTTCTTTAAAAACGTGGGATGCACCACATTTTACCCTTCCGAGTCTAAGCTTATGTATATTAAAATTAGAGGTTAAATAAAGAAACAAAGTCAACATATTGCTTCAAAGAAAGATGAAGATTTAAGAAATGTTCCACTTGAGGAGACATTTCAAACTTTGAATTATGATTCAAATGGACTCACAACAAATGATACTCAACAGTGGTTGTTCATCCTTGGACAAAACAAATTTGAAGAGAAGAAAAAGAGAAAGGTTTTGAAGTTTTGGGATCTATATGAAATTATTTTTTATGCTAAATTACACTTTTAGTCCTCCTATAATATCAAATCCACAATTTTTATCCTTTTATTTTTAATTTCTTCATTTTAGTTTCTAATTTTATAAAATCTATAATTTTGGTCCCCTCATCAAATATTAATCTATTGATCGATAAAATTGTAACAATAGTCATGATATGACATTAAAACATATGACATGATAATTAAAATTTAATAATATTTTGGCTAAATTTCACTTTTAGTTCATTTTCATTTTTACCTCATAAAAATAATAATGAGATAAAAATGAGAACTGAAAGTGAATGTTTTCCAAAATATTATTAAATATATATTAATAATAGTGTCATTTATATAATGTTAGATCATCACTAATGTAACAAATTTAACAATCAACAAATATTGTGGAGATTAACACTAGTGCAAAAGAAGTATTTTACGTCGGTTATTTTGGGGCTTTTACGTCGTAAAAAAATCTGACGTTAATGCGGGAGACGTAAATTTATGTCAGTTGTGATGGCCGACATAAATTCACGTCAGACATTACCACAACCGACGTAAAATTGTTGCAAGACATAAAACCAGAACGGGCTGTTCTGCTTGCACTCGTTGTGTGTTAATTCTGCATCTGAAACGGGCTGTTCTGGTTTGAGAAAGGGTTGTTCCAGATACACAATTAACACACAACGAGTGCAAGAAGAATGGACCGTTCTGATTGGAGAACGGGCCGTTTTGGTTAGAGAACGGGTCGTTCTCCCAAAACTATTTCAGAAGAAGTTTATCTGAACATGGTGAAACCAGATTCAGTTGAGAACAATGTATAAAAACGAGCTCACAAGGATACCAACATTTTGAATACTAGGGTGAAGGAAGAACATATTATAGTAATAAAGTTAGGAAAAGCATACTCTTGAGATTGCAGAAAAGATTGTTAGTGACGAACTGTGAGGCTGCGGTGCTACCATACTTGATTCTTCTTCTTCCATGCTATACGCCTACACCGCTGCTTACAACGGCTTCGCCGCCACCCTCGACCCTCAACAAGCCCACGCGTTGCGAGCCTCCGATTTTGCATTCAAAATTTCAAATCTATTTTGTGACCAATGACAAAAATGGACGCGCGGGAAGAAGATGGGAGGAAATAATAAACTCTTTTACGTCGGACCCTATGTAGTCCGACATAAAATTTCAAATCTATGTGAGCCACAAGATACATCCGACGTAGATTTGAAATTTTACGTCGAACTACATAGGGTCCAACGTAAAAGAGTTTGACTTATTTACAAAATTATCATCGCATCTTTTTTTACATCATTTTTTTGTATGTCCAACGACAAAGAAGTGATGTAAAAGACTAATTTTCTACTAGTGTAAAATTGTAGATTTTATAAAATTAAGGGAATATAATTGTGAATGAAAAATTGGAGGAACAAAATTGCATATTTGATATATAAAGGGACCAAAGATACACTTTAGCTTATTAATTTCTTGATTGTGATGAAATTGCAACAATCATTATCGTTACTTTGGCTAATGAAGGAGATAATTTTTTTTGCTCGAAAAGACTTAGTTGGATTATTATATTTCTTATCAATTCAACAATAAGTTTTATGTTGGTAAAGTTATTGCAACTCTCATGAAAAAAATGTTTCGAGATAGAAAATGAATTTAGACAATTGAAAGCATTCTTGTTCTAGGTGATATAATTAGTGTTAAGTTAGGAAATATGAGGCTCGTTCGTACATGCTCATACACCCAAAGGTGATCCAATAGAGAAGTATGCATGATCATTGAGATTAAAACTGAGTTTTGAAGAAAAATCTCAAAGAGTATTGAGATTAAAATTTTGAGTTTTGAGGATGTGTAAGGACCACATTGTTGAAACAACTAATTTGTGAAGTGTAATATCTTCAAACAAATGGTCCAAATATTTTTTGAAGAACAAAATCTCTTTAAATTTAATGGCAAATATTCTTTAAATATAATCGCTTCAAATTTTAAGCACAATCACAAATTACAAGATAAATTTCTAAACTTATAAAGCTCTTTACCTATGTAAATTTACCTATGTATCCTTGTTTAAGTACAAGGAATTTATAATAAACTTCTTTGACCAGCTTATAAGTTCTTTTACTAAAAATAAGTTTGTTTGATTTGTGAGTTAATTTTAGGAGCATATAGTTTATTTCTATAAGCCAATTGAAGTAACATAAAACTTATAAGCTCTTAGTTTTTTGCTCTCTTTCATTTTTTATCATTAGCAATTTACTTGAAATCCTTTTTCATCCTTTTAGTTTATAAATCCTTTTATTTACATGTTAGTCTCCCACTTTTCTTGTTAAATAAACAAACATGTGATTTTATATTAATCATTTAGTTTATTAGTTAATGTTACCAAACACTTTCAATTTAATCAATTAACTTATAAAGCTTCCAACTCTTAGCTTATAGTAAATATATAAGAGTATATTTTTTCTCCGGTTTTTCCTTTTTACTTTTATTTATTTAAATATTTTTATTCTTTTTCTCTTTTATTTCTTTTATGGAGGTGCTTACAAAACGACCTCCTTCTTGCGCTAACACCAACACTAGATTAGCCAAGGCTACTCCAAAGCCCGACTCACCTACGTCATGGCCACCTTTACCAAAAGTAAACCAAGAAAATCAACCCTAAGCTGACATGGTCTCGCAAGATCCATTGTAAATTTGTAATCATACGAAAGTTAACTTAGTCAGGGTGTGTAACCACCCATCTGTGACATAACACATCCTGTAATGAAATTACCTCGCTAAACCCTATAAGTAGCACACATGTATATTCACGTTCCCATTTCTCCTATAATTATTCTGTTGGTTCACATATTGACTTAAGTGTTTAAGTGTCGGAGTGTTTGTAAGTGGTCATATATCAATCCTTCAACCCTTGTTCACGACACAAGCAACTTGGTGGTCCTCTCCATCACTGTTAGAAAATTAGTGTTGTTTGTACGAACTAAACTCACAACCACATGGTCAAAAGCCACTAAAGCACAAATTACATGATAATTACAATAATATAAATAGAGAATTTCTACGGTACCATCTGTAAAAGAAAGGTACCGGTACAGTCGATGACGTATCGATGAGCTGTCACTTACGTGTAAATTTAAATCATTTATAATTTTTTTAATTATTTAAAATCTACATCCACGTCAGTTATATGAAATTTTATTGTTAATGTTAAACGTATGCATTGATTTCCTTACGAGATTTTCTCTCGGTAGTTCCTTTCTTTCGTAACAATTTTCCCTCTCAATGAAGAAGAAGAAGAAACCTTCACCATCCCACCAATGACACCAACCTTCACTCTCTCTTCTCCCTCTCCATCATTCTCCTCATAACCGCCGTCACCGCCCTCGGCTCCGCCTCCACCATCGCCGTCACCTACGCCACCGCCACCGTCTGCGGCATAGGAAGAAGGTAATATTATATGAAATTTACGTTTTTTAATTTTTCTTTTGGAATGTTTGATTCATGTTTCTTCCTCATTTTTTTCGGAATGTTTACTTCGTGTTTCTTCCCTCTCTGCGGGCCGGCGAGCCAGACGGCGAAGGCGGAGACCGCGATTGCCGGCGAGTCGTGGAGGAGGAGCGTGGCGGGGAGGGAGAGGACATCAAAGCGGCCATGGAAAGTGACGGTGGCGCCGGGGGTGACGGAGGGTTGACGGAGAGTGACGTTGGTGACGGATCCCGAATCGGACAGGATGCATAGGCCTGTGTTCTTTCTGCGGCTGAACCGGGCAGGGCCTCGACCACGTCGCTTCCGCCCGGGATTTCTAAAATAAAAAGGGTCATAGTGGGCTCGGTGGATTCTTGTGGATGGAGATCTGGGACCTCAAGAAGCTATTGTTTATCCTGGGCTTGCTCTTTACCAAGCAACTGCAGGATATGTAAGCCCTGCATTACACAAGACTGAGATTAATATGGAGGCTAATATGTATGGATGATGTTCTTTAGCCTTCAAACTTTTGCCCAAGTCAATGACCAGTTTTGATTGTCCAGAAATGCGAGCAGCAGGTTATGGAATTGAAGCTCAGTTCCAGCTTCCTGTTCTGGTGGATGATTTTATGCAAACATCTCATCCCACAGATAGTCTCTTTAACAGGCCTGGTTTCCAGTGCTTTAATTTCCAACCAGCGCATGATGGTATGTAGCATTCTAATTATATTGGGAATGTGATTTGTTGTATACTTTATTTGAATAGGACTATAAATTTATAAATTTTTAAAAATTGGAAAATTATTTGATATTTCTTTTCATTAAGTCAAATCAATATATAAAATAATTTTATGATTATCCATCAATTTAAATTAATAAAACGAAGTATTAAATGATTTTCATTTTTTCTTCTT